TTTGTTTGGGGAAATTTGGGAAACCCCGTTGGTTGCCCCCCCTTCCCCCCCCCCCCCGGGCCCAAAAAGGGGTTCAAGGGGTTCGGGAAACCCCTCCAAATGTTTTGGGGAAAAAAATGGGGGGGAAAGGGTCAATTTACCTTTCCGTTTTTTTTTAAAAAAGGAGCCCCCTTTTTTTTCCAAAGCCAACCAAAACCCCCCCCCCGGAAAAAATTTTTGTCCCCTTTTTTTCCCAGGGGGGATGGGGTTAAATGACTTTAAATTTTTTGTTCATTTCTTTAGGGCTCTTAAAATTCCCCCCCCCCCCCCCCCCCCCCCTCCCCCGGAGCGAGCCCGTCATAGTCGTAGGCCTCCTTAAAATGCCATGAAGGAGGCAGGGCATGCACTCATCCCGCACTGCAAGATTTCCTCCCTCCGAGTCCGTCATACCCTTCCATCAAATAAATTACCGTGGGGATAAGCTGGCCCTTCACTCATCATCCAACGTCTCGCCCCCAAAATGCTATAATACTACTATATTACGCCGCTTGCCAGCAGCAGGCAGACCAACCCCTGTGTTTTGAAGTATTATCCTTACCATCAACCGACTACAGTACCACAAGCATAGTATAGCATAGTGCAGAAGGAGAGACGACGCACCCACCCTCAGATGGCCTACGTATCTATCTATCTATCCCGCCTGCCACATATTTTACTTCCAACCAAACCGGAGACAGACACGCAACATGCATCCCGTCGCCTTGAGGCAGGGTATTTTATGAAGCGGGCAGCACTAAGTATTTTTTTTATAGTATTTGACCCAACGAAACAACACTAACGCACCAATTAGCTGTCGCGCCTCTAGCCACGACCCCCGCCCACCCACAAGCATATGGTACGCTACTACTACTTCTTCTGCTAGTTTACTGGATGATGAGTATTTCCCATCATCACCCACAACCAATTCCATCGAGTACAACAACGACTGCCAGCATTGCTTACCGGAACATTCCATATCGAGCGGCTTCCTTTTCCGGATACCCATACCTCCGGCACTCACCCTTCCCTACACGTACTTCTGCAAGAGAGAGAACTTTCCTCGCAACAAGCCGGTTCGAGTTTTTTTGTTAAAAAATCAAAATAAACAATAACAAGTTGTAGACTTATGTGTGCCACACTATATAATAAAAAGACTACCCCGCAAAATTCGAAAACAGTCCGCCTCAACCAGACTACTGAAGATAGAAACGTAGACACGAAAATAAGTGTTCACGTTGTTGTTGTTTCCGAGCGGTATAGAAAAGATAAAACGTCACTACTGCACTACTACCACACACTGGACATTACACCCCACCGAACACATTCACAGAGAGAGCCCCCCCACCCGGTCCGAAGAATATTTACTCATGAAACTGCGGCGGAACCTCCTCTCGGTCGTTGTGACAAGAGCAAGTCATCAGCGGGACCCAACAATAACAACGTTGATTTCGCAGGAAAAAAACTTGCCCCCCCCGCCACCAAGGTGCACACTCACCACCACTCTTCATTTCCCTCTTTACACAACCTCAACCTCTTCCTTCGGGTGGGCGGGTGGGCGGGTCCCATTGACTCTTCCATCAGATAATTCTTCTCGGGAAATCAAATATCTTAACTACTTACTCGGGATCGCGTTGGGTTGGACCGTTCTTGAGGGGGGAGGGGGGGGTGGCGATGAGTCCATGGTGGGTGATTCCTCACTGGTCCGCAGGGGGGGGGGGGGGTCGTACATACATGTTCCCCACAAAAGGGAAGAAGAACGACTATCGCTTCGCTTCTTCCCTCTTGAAGGATGGATGGATGTGTACCAAAATGCGACGTCGTATTCTTCCGTTCTCATCTCATCCAACACCATAGAGAGTTTCGACACGACGTGCCTACCTGTACCTCTCAACAGACTCCTAAAACAAAAGAAGTGGATCGTCGACAAACAAATCAGCCTCGCCCTCCCCCCTCGTCTCCTTCGCCAGCCCCAATACTATCCCGCGACTTCTTCCAAGCAAGGCAACCATCCGGGGCAAGGGGAAGGGAGGGGGGGGGGGGGGGGGTTCTCTCACATACAGTGCATAGGTTAGCACACAACTTCAGACAACGAGGTAGCATTGAACTAGGCCAGACCAGTCAAGCATGAAGAAACACGATTGATCGGGCCATCAGTCTATAAGCAACAAAACCCCGTTACTACTGTGTTGACTGTTGAAGAAACACGACAAGTACACCCGGCATAGACGACGACAACATCGCTAACTTTCTACGAATGGTATTTATACCGACTCGAAAAAATAAAACATGAATTTAATCGCTCAGCTCGAAAGACGACAAGAAGAAGAAGAAGAAGAAGAGAGACTGCTGTTGACGTGAGAACGTAGTAAAGCCATCCACCAAAGTCGGCGGGTTTTCACCACCCCTCTTATGAGCGAGGGAACTTATTAAAAAACAAATGCACTAGCAGACAGACGTGATTGGTGTCGATTCCTCCACCAACCAACGTTTGCTCAACAACAAGTCGTCAATGCACCCAACCGCTGACGGCGGCGGTTAATCGATATATCTTTCGTATGGTATTGTGGTCGCCGTAAAAGTAAAGTGTTGTAAACGAGTCGTGATGCCTCCTTCTGTGAACCGCAAGCAAACACGTGCCGCCGCTCACCACCAGAAAGCACCTAAGGTTAACCGGTCCAACAAGATCGACACAACCATCACAGCAGCACAGGGCAAGTCTCCATCCCTCCCTATGTGCAAACAACCCCCCCCCCCCCCCCCCCCCCCCCCCAATATCCCCCACCGCAAAAAAAAAACAAAAAAAAAAAACAAACCCACCCCCCCCCCCCC